AGTTGTTTAATAGGGGTCTAAATAAATATTTTATTTAGAATTTATTTTAAAATAATAATTTTAAAATAAATTGATCCTAACTCTTGAATTTAATTTCAAGCATCATCTAAGCCATTTGATCTCTATTTGGGTTTGACAGATTTTGAAGAATTTGCCCAACCCAATAACGCTGCAAAGTCTTAATCACGACTGCAATTCAAAGGTGATGACTTGCGATTTGGTATTTTGAAGAAGACTGTAATACCCCAAAATTTCTAGAGCATTAATTGTGAAGTAATATTATTAATGAACTTAATGGCAAAAATTTTCAAAGTTCAGGGACTAAAAAGAAAGGAAATTAGGATAAGGATCAGCTGATATTTTTCTTCCTTTTCTTCCCAGCCATACACGTTTCTGCTTTGTCTCCTTCCTGATCCTTCCTCCCGAAAAGCCCCCAAGCCACCGACTTTCTCCCCTTGAAAAACCCAGTGAAGGCCTCTTGAAATTTCCCTCCTTTCTTGCTCAAAAACCAAGTTTCAGGCCTAGAACACTCTCCTAAACCCAGAAGTTTTCCAGGTCTGCGCTGTCTTTTTCCCCTCTGTCCGCCGGTCTCTGCTATGTGGGGTTGGGTTCGGTTTTCTGCACCGTGAGTCTTCCCTACAGATTTGCTGCTAGCCTCTTCCCCCGCCAGGTCCGGTTCTGCAGCTGGAAAATTTTGGGTTCTTGATCGTTCTGTCAATTTAGCACTGAGATCGAGCCTTGGTTTTAAGCGAGTGAGGTAAGTAAATTATGGTAACGCCCTTCGATTTTAAAGCATGTTTTGATTTATTTTGAAATGGTGGCGGGACTAAACCCGTTTTATACAAAATACATATGATTGATTTGAACTGAGAATTTTTATGATTTTTATGGATTTGAGCATGCCTACTTGAAGTTCATGTGATTGTCCTGATGATTTGAAAGTTATTTGTAAAGAATGATTTTCTGTTAACTTCAGCCTGTTTTGTCTCCGATATGGTCATGTTATTTTTGTAATCCTACTAGTGGGGGTTAAACACTAGCACATGTCGACATGTATTTTTGTAGAGCCGGTTCCTCCTGCCAGTGGGAGTTGTTAAACACTGGAATTTCTGTAATCCTGCTAGTGGGGGTTAAACATTGGTAATTTCTGTAATCTTGCTAGTGGGGGTTAAACACTAGTACTTTCTGGCGCCTGCCAGTGGGTTGTTATAACACTGGCTGTGACCTATAGAGGAGACGTCTATTTCGTTCCCGTACTTGTATCCGTTTTTCTGATTGCCCTTGTTGGCATGCTATAAGTTTATTTGACTACTACTGAACCTTATTCTGCATAATGGTTATCATTGAGCATTCCGTTTATGTTTAAACTGTTTATCTGAAATGCTCAAATTTTACCCACGGGCTATCCATACATTTACTTATTGAGATATTTTATCTCATAGTTTTCCTTGTCCACCATTTCAGGAAGCAAAACCGAGGACGGGGAAACCATGGGAAGTGACGAGTTAGAAGGCTAGCCATTTCGAGATTGATATAATTTTAGAAATAAATCATGTTTTTGTAAGAGAGATTTTACCTTGTGATTTTAAGTTTAAGTCATGTTGGACATAGATTTATGGAATAGAGTTTTGGATTTGAATAAGTTCCGAGCCTTGTGCGTTTGCGGGACCCGTCTCACGAGTGCACGGCGTCTGTCGCGCCTCAGATTTGGGTTCTGGGGCGTGACAAAGACAATGCAACGTGGATTTAAATCGTTAATGAAGTCCTCACACTTTATAAGAGTTTCACACAAGTCCTAAGTCTTTTTCTTTGAAATGGTCCATGTGATAGACTTGTAGTAAATTGGTAATGTTTAATAAAAATTTATTTATTTATTTTGATGAATCTTATCTTTGAATATTCTGAAGTTTTAATGGTTTGAATTTTTGAAGTGTTATTATTTATAGTTAATTTTATAAATTATAAGTGTTGACGTGCCAAAATGGATGGAGTCGCCATCTATTCAAATGAGGTTGGATAGATCTGTTGTACTTATGATTTTGATAATTACAAAACACATTTGAGTGACTAATTGGTTCATTTAAGTGTGTAGTTAAAATGTCAAAAGATTGTAAAATAAGTAAACTTAGACTGTACTTAAAAATGGACCAGAAAGGCTTGAGTATGTGCAGAGAGCCAGCTTTGGTGAAATGGAAGTGAAGAGAGTCGGCTCTGGAAGCTGCAGCCGGCTCTACGGGTAAAGATTTAAAGGTTCGTTGTTTGGTGCGCGCAGAGAAAAGATGCAAAGCTAGCTCTAACTTTGCAGCTGGCTGTAAAGGCATATTTAATGCACAACGGTCGATTTATTTGAAGAATAATTAATATTTTTAAAGTCAAAATATCAAAGCTAGCTTTACGTTTTTGCAGCCGGTTGTCCAAGAAAACAAAATGTTCAGCAAACCCGCAAAGTCGACTTTGCGTTTTATAGCTGGCTCTACAGAGAAAATAGAGTGTGCAGAATCCTGCAAAGCCGGCTATAGAAATGGTGAGCCGGCTGTGCTGAGCCGGTTGTCCTGACAATCCTGCAACTCGAGCTTTGCATCCTGCAGAGCATTTAATGACCCCAACGGCTAGAAACGGCTATTTTTGAGCAAGGGGCTATAAATATGGTTGGTAACAGATCTGAAGAAGGTTGGAGAACATTGCATTGAATATCTTTACCTACCTACATGAGCTTTAACTTGAGTTTTTGATTTTTGAGAGATCTTTACTTGTAATCCTCTTCTTGTTCTATTTGTGAGTGATCTTGGGGGTGTGATTAATCCTTCAAGAGTGATTTGTAGAGAGGATTCTTGGGGTTTAAGTGTAAAGGGGTGAGATTCGAGAGAAACACCCTTCTTCTTGTAAAAAGATTGAGTGGCTCCTTTAAGCCACCCTTATTGTTGTTAGTCGAGAGTGTGGAGAAAATCCTTGGTGAGTGAAGCCAAGGTAGAGGATTAGGCTCCAAGTGGTTGGACCAAATCTCTATAAATCATTGAGTAAGCTCTTCTTCTCTGCTCTCTTTGATTGTGGTTTTGTGGTTGCAAAAAGGGGAGAATTTTTGGAACTCCAATTTACCCCCCTCTTGGAGTACATTGAGTCAACAAGATCACCAAGGTCTATGTGGAAATTGACTAGGCTCGGAAAGTCGGTTAAGTATGGGGAAGGTGTTAGGCACCCCACAACTTTCATATAATATGGTTATCACATACTTTAATTTTGAAGATTTTTCAATTTTATATCACAATAATAATTACCAAAAAATAATAATAATGATAATAATAGTAAACAACACAAAAATCACTTTAAAAAAAA